CAACTAATCAAACAGTGTTTGTTCGTTCAAGCAATTTATAAAGCACGGAAACTGAGAGAAACAAAATGGATGATAGCCAAAACTTCCCATAAGTTACAAAAAAATGATGTGCAGATAAGTGCTATATACACCTTTAGGATTTTGCTGTATTTTTACCTAGCGTATCCATATGAGAAAAAACTTTCAAAAAGTAAGCTTTGATAAAATACTTCACTTTACTTGAATTTTGTTTAATGTGTCAAATTCAGTAATATGCAACTTTAGCTTAAAAAAACTCAGAAAAGTTCTCCTCTGCGGCCTTAACCAATTAAATGAAAGACAAACGTGAAAGTTTTGAAAGTAACAAATATACAAATACAGATGAAAGAAGAAACAACTGTCGTACAACAGTGTACATAACAAAGAATAATAGCAAAGTTTTCTACTGAAAAAAACAACAATGAACAAACTATATGGTACTCATAGAAAAAGCCGAAGAAGCATGAAGAAACTAAACCATAAAACTTTAAGCCTAAAATAAATACAGATTCACTTACATTCTGATAGCAAATGTACAGTGTATTCTGATCATAATTGTAAACAGGCAGTTCAGCAGGAATTACAAGTAGCTTTCTGAGGATAAAGGAGAGCATAGAGATTAAAAATCACCGAAAAGATTGGGATGAGTTAAATGATATTCTCGATAGCAGTTCTTGATTCGGCCGAATACCTGGAGGCAATCAATGTACTGCAGTGTGTTACCGGGATTGCCGAGATGCGTGGTGCAGAATACCATACAACGACCGCCGTTGTATGATCCAATACCGTTCCTGATACAGCATTCCGAATGGTCCGCCTACAATATTCACTAGTATCTAACAGAAATCTCCAAAAAAAAAAATAAATAAATAAATAAAAACTCCATTTGTTGCTCTACTAGAAGTTTGACCATCGTCAAGTAGCTGGTAGTGAGATATTAAAGTAAATTTAAAACATCAAAGACCCTCCGCATTTTACCTTCATTAAGAGATGGAAGCAAGAGAGGGTGACCTTCGCCAAAAGCAAACGATTAGCTAAAATGACTATTGCTGGCTCCCTCTTTCAAAACTGACCACAAACAAACTGATGGACACTACAAACAGTACTAATTATCACTAATGCAAATTTAAGACTTATGAATCGAGGAGTTAATAAATAATCAGAATAATGCGTCAATTCCCTGTTCCAGTATGAGCTCTGAGGGAAAACAAAAGAGTAGCCGCCAACATTTCTGCAAACTTCTCTTTATCAGATTAAGCAGTATTCCCTCGACAAAGAGAAAGGAGGGGGAAGAGGGATGCCGAAACCTGATTTTCATTGTTCTACATAAATTTATTGGAAATAAATCACAGTTCTTTCTTGGACAATGACAAACATGGAACCAGCATGGAGGAGCATAGCCAGTTTCGTTTCTGTACCAATTCATCTAAGCAATAATCAATTCTTATGCTATGATGAAGTACTGCCCAGCTAGTAAAATAGCATCACGAGCAACCACTGGATTGTTAGGGAGTCGACGGTGTTCCTTTTCGAAATTTCCTTTATGCTAAATGAATGGATGTTATTTTACTGTTAATTTAAAGAAGTTAGAAATCTCATACCATGGCTGTGGCGCAGTTGAATGCAGTCTCGAGCTCATGTCCGGGACATTGATTCGTTATTACTGCTGTGACAAGCTAAAATAAATGCTTTTTAGTACAAGTAATGCATTTAAAAAAGAAAAATCTGTTAGAAGAAAAGAGTGTTGATTGCAAACGTTTTCTGCACTGAGTCCCGCGGGTTTTGAGAATTTTGACAGAATTTTCTCTGTATATCAGGCCAAGCATCTTGTTAGTTAAAAAACCCAGGCTGGAACGCACCAGGCGGGCCGGTGCGATTATGAGTTTCTGCACCTTCCGTGCCGTAGCAAGACCGCAAGGAGTCAATGTAGCTAACCCTGTGAAATACTGGCCCTCGAAGTTCGGAAGTTAATTGTGCATCTATGTGGTATGTCAATTGTAGGTGTCAACTTCAGTGACCCGACAAATGGAAAGTTGCTGGTCCGCAAAAAAAGGCCGCGGCTAGAAGAATTAAATTTAAAATTTTTTAGTCGCACATGAGCGGGGAACATACCCTTAAAATTAAAGCCTACAGCTTTTTCCGTTCCCAAGTTAGCAGTTTTCCCATCAGAGTTTTCACGTATCCGTACGTGAGTACCAGACGGTTTTAAGGAGCTGAATCTAATATTTTTTGGTCATACATAGGTAGGGAGCATAACCCTAAAGTTTCAGCTTTCTAGCTTTTTTCCTTCCTGGGTTAGTGATTTCCGCGCCAAAATTTCCACGCGCTGGTACTTGGGCTCGGGCGCTTCTAAACACCTGATTTTACTCGTACATGAGTAGGGAACATTGCCCTAAAGTTCCAGCTTTCTAGTTTTTCCCTTTCCCGAGTTAGTGATTTTCGCGCCTAAAATTCCACGTGCCCGTACGTGAGCCCCGGGCAATTCTGGGCAGCTGAATTTGAAAGATTTTAGTCGCGCATGGGCGGGGAATATTCCCCCAAAGTTTCAACCTTCTAGCTTTTTTCATTCGCTAGTTATGAATTTTCCCGTCATAATTTTCACTTGCCCGTACGTGAGCCCCGGGCAGTCCTGGGTAGCTGAATTTGAAATCTTTTTGTCGTATACGGGTGGGGGACATTTTCTCAAGGTTTCAGCTTCCTAGCTTTTCTCGTTCCCGAGTTAGCGATTTTCGCGCCAAAACTTTTAT